CTGATGTCAATAGCAAAACAGAGGAGATTATATATATTTATAATTATATACATGAAATCAAACAGTGAAGAGAAATTAGGCTAAGTTCATCCCATGCTGCAGGTTAACGAATAATCTTGTGTGCAGGACAAGGAACTGATATACAAGGGGCTTTATCCTCATTTGGGTATTCATTGCTGTTTTACTGGAATTTATTTCTTTCACTGGCATACATAGGTGTGTGTACATCTACGTGTATGTATATATAAAAGCCACATAATGAAAACCATCTGGATTCAATATATTACATATACTTACTTATTAAAATCATTTGGGAAATGAATAATTTAAATACTGGTTAGCACAAAAAAAAAATATTAAAGTATGGAAAACCAAATATTTTTTAAAAGTTCAAGCTTCTCCTGTAACTACTTAAAAATATTCAGAAAACCCCACAGTAATTCCTAAAGAGTGCAGATAAGACAGAAAATCTAAACATTTGCGCGCAAAATAGTTTACAAGGGAGAAAGTATGTGCACGCTCTAAAGTACAAATACTGTTGGAGGATGAACAGTTAAACTTTTAGAAAGAATAACTGAAATGTCAGCCTGAAGGTCAGCTTCAACCGCCCCAATGGAACCAGATACTTTTTAGGAACTCTTAAATGCAGGCAAAAAAAATGTCAACGACATGTTTTCATTTACTTTCCAGGGAGAAATTTTTGACTCCCAGATCTCCCCATCCCACTGGCAAGTTCAGACTCTGGTAAGCAGCACACATAGTTAACATAGTTTTGCATTGATACAACATATCCTATAAGCATAACTATACAAACTTCCTTGCCTTTGCACAATATCATGTTTCCCACCAAATTATCTAGAGATCTGGCAAGGAAATTCGACATAATTTTATTGAAAAAAAAAATGTTTACATTCTGTTCAGGTGAGGGAATTTATACCGTCTTGAGTAAGTCTTTGGGATAGTTAAAAATTCTATTTAAATACATAAATAGCTGGGGTTTGTTATCCAACAGTCACCATGTCTTTGGAAATAAGAAAAATGGCAACACTGAGAAATAGAGTTTTGCTTTCGCTAAAATGTGATTCATTCCCATTAGCATTTGCAACACATATTCCTTCCTCACCTCCCCTCAAAATTAAAGCTGTTTCTGTAAGGCTTGCAAAGACAATGGGCAAACAAAATTAATCTAGCTTATTCTTTTACATGTAGTCCATCACCCTCAAGTCTACCTATGTAACACCCTGCAGCGTGAAACTCTCTTGCCTTTTGTAAAGTTTCACTGGCAATGAAACAACAAGGCAAAGAACGCAAAGCCTTCTGCAGGAACAGGCAAGGAAGGCTGGTTACTTCTAACCTGAGGGGCTTTAAGATACACATCCAAATACACGTACACCAAAGTGGGAGGCTTTCCAAGCTCTGGATGACATATCTTATGGTACGAGAGAAGAGGTGGTTCAGAAATTGGGTAAAAAAGGAACAGAGCTCTTTTAGACAGATTGTCTAGCAGAGCAAGAATTGCTTTCTCCTAGAGAGACTTTGAAATAGAGGAGAAAGAGCGAGCAGCCATCTCTTCAATGCCCATGCTAGCACGGCCATAAGCAACACACTGAAGAAGCTGCGGTTTGTTGGTAGGTAACCATCCTTTCTCCTGCGAGCTGCTGTCCCTATGCCTAGCCACGCCGCAGGAGACACTGAGCGGTCTCACCAGTCTCTGCAGAGTAAACAAAAATGAGTCTCAAAGCTGCGTTAAGACTGGAAACTTCTCCAAGTCCTGCACCGTGCCTAGGTGTTTCCACAGCAGGAGAGCGCATATGCACGTTCCCGTGCGGAGCAATGCTGGGCAGCGTTCCCTCCTAGCCCAGAGGCTGATGGAGCACCCTCAGAGCAGGCTTTTATCACAGAAATCCACAGGCACAACCTCACAGCAGATCCCAACATGGGCACAACCTCACAGCAGATTCCAACACAATCTGCCGTAGAAACAAAGGAAGGGTTTTCCCCAGAGTGCTTTGCCCTGAAGAAGCAGAAAGCTAAGGCATGCCTGACAGCCAAGGTGCAAAGGACATTTCAGCCATAGAGTTTCAGGGTCCAGGAAAGGCAGCAGACCAGCTAGTTCCTTGACTAACTGCAAAACATCAGAGCCCATTCTAGAGGAAACTTGCAGAACTTTTTAAGGAGAAAAATAATAAATTTCTCAGGAACTACAATAACATAAGGGAGATCAACCAGAATATCACAGCAATCTCTGGAAGCAAGTACCTATCTGCAGAGGCAAGCGAGCAAGCAGGAAAGCATGCTGCCTGGGTTTGAAAGGAACCTTCGAGTGACCTTCTTGGGCAGCAGGGTCCCCTCCTCCAGCAAGGGGAAGGGCAGTCAGTCACCTTCTGCACAGATGGCATCCTTGCCAGTGGAGATTGTGGCTATCTGAGAAGCGGAGCACAACAGCTGGGACAAGTTTTAACCAGTTCACGTATCTCAGGACCGGTCTGTATCTATATTATCTGAAGTTATCTCCATGCTTTTTTGCAGAGCACACAAAGGTGTAGCCCAGCATGCTAGCCCTTAAATCAAGCAGGATTAAAGAGGTCCCAGGTGGTACCTAATACTTCCACTGGGTTTGTTCATCCCTCATTTAAAAAAAAAAAAGTAAATTAAATCTAGGTTTTACTTCAGCAGAAACCTCAAAGCAGTTTTAACTATTTTTCCCCTTAACTAGTTTTATCAGGCTACGATGCCCAGAACCAACGCACACCCACACACCACCCCACCCGGACAGCTCTGAAGAGCCAACTCTCTAAAATTATTTCACACATCATATAAACTTATTTTCTGAACCTTCTTTTAAGCACAATGGCTAATTGGGATATATCCAATTTTTTTTTTTTTTGACTACTCAAGTCACTTTTAGCAGCACATTATAGCTACCCAACAG